AGAAACCAAGAGAGAACTTCAGAATTTTGAAGAAGCAGAGCTCAGGGGTTGATGGGAGTTTTGTAGTCATTCGTCGAGTGCTGGCAGCTCCGAGTATGCGACAAATGTATCCCTGTATCTGTTTTGAGAAGCTTTTAACTGCAACTTCTATCCAAGTATTCCCCCCCCCCCCCCCCCCCCCCCAAATTATAATACGCAAACAGTAATGAAAGTGACAGGGGCCGTAGATTCTTTACCGTTGATCACAGAATTCCTTGTTGTACATCAAGATCAGGGATCGTAACGAGCGCGGATATCCACTCTTGAGCTTTCTGTTTATGTATCGGCAAGATAATAGACATGTACAGCTTCTCCTTTGTAGATTGTTTCTATGTACATTATGTTGAATTCTATCTTCCGCGTGCTATGAAGGCGTTTAGACGTTCGTTGTCGATGCTCGCATGGTCCTCCTCGGTGCCCTTCTCCTTTTATATTTAGCGATAGCTACTTGAAATTATGGGTCGGCGATAACTTTAGAGATTCGGCAGTGGTTGATGATCAGGGATGCGATCTTGTGTGAAGGGTTGCTGCTCTTATGAAATTAGCATTCTGAATAGTAAACGAGAAAGGGAGTATTCGTCTGTGCAACTGCGCGGTGAATATCTGAGACCGCAGGAAAATGCTGGGATCAGATGAGCTCCAGTCAATCTGTGGATTATACTTGAGGGTTTCGCCTGGAAGGACGAAAGTCTGACTCTGGCATAGACCATTGCTGCTGAGATGAGGTGCATGTCAGTGATGTAGCGTTGTCGAAAATGAACCAATTTAGGATAGAGTGTGATGAGTTCTGCCAAAAGTTCTAGCCTAAAGATGAGCAGAGCATCCAATGTGCGCCGGGGGTGTATGCGACTTGCTCTGGAGATTTAGATTGGCTTCGGGAAGAGATACGTACAGAGGCAGCCGGGCTCAATTCTCATCATGGGAACGAATAACGCTAGTGTTGTAGCTATTATTATCCAAACTTCTCTCTATGAGGCTTTGATGTGATTGGTGTGTTGATGATGGATATGAATTATAGAAGTTTCTCCGTCATATAAGTATGTTGCTGAAGTATCAAAAAGAGATATGGTAACAGTTTTCGATTTCGAGCGGGGTGGTTCGAGAGTGTATAAAATATTTAGTACCTAGGTATGGGTAGGAAGTGTCGAGGCTTGCTTGTAGTTAGGGAAGGAACGTATTCTCCTTAGAACGGTCTTCGAAAATTTGTGCCTTTGCTTTCCAGACCAGTCTAAAAGGCCACCGGACCAATCCATATTTCGTAAAAGCAAACTCACGTATTCAAAATTAGCCACGCCATACATGGAGTAATTTCAAGAATGTAGAAACATACCGTATACTTTTGATAGTGTTTATAAAGTCGGAGGTACGATTCTCCTAGGATTACCATGAGAGAACCGTAGAGGCTATATGCAAGTAGGGTTACATCATTAGTGGTCCTATCAGATACCTATATCACGGTTCTCCTCTTCTAGTCAAGAATCTAGACTTGTACCTAAGTATAGTGATCAAACCCAAGTTACAGGCTTCTGCAACGTTCAAAAATGTCGCAATATTCTCACGTCTAGATGACAGAAATCATACCTTTTCCTTTCGGATGATATGCTTCTTCTAGGCTTTCAAACTACTTCTGTACCATTATGAAGATAGAAAAATCTTAAGAAGAAAAGACTACTTAGTACGAGATAGAATTAAATTGACTAGATGGTTTTACATGATTTTCTAATTTACAGCTTGTTCCTACCAAAATCCAGCAAATCATCACAGCTTATCATACATTGGAAGAATCATACCACCAATGAGTTTACTGCGAGTGGTTTCAATCCTACAGTGCAACCACGTCACCTGTTCAGAACAGCTCTCAAGCCTATTAATATCTCAGGGTTTAAAGGATAATATCAAAGAACTGTGGTTGTCTTTTGTTTGAAAGTTGGAAGCTTGTCTAGACAGCTTGAGAAATATCAGCTTGATGAGGTATGACAGGTGGTCATCTGCTATTATGCCTTCCTTCAATGATAGTGGTGTTGAGATTCCGGAGGCACATTGCATGTTGTCTGCACCACTCGATCTCAATGTCATATTAGTCGGCGATGCCACGCAGCGAAGAGTCTAAATGACTACCCATATTCTCCCATAGAACAAAAAATTTGGTTTTAAAGCCAGCCAAGGCGTTTTATTTACTACCATACATAAATGAGAACGATTACCTAAATAAAAGAAGAAAACGACACAAGAGAACAATAGACATTAAGTTGTACAATAGAGGCTAGCTCGTTGGGTTCGCTTTTCTGCCCACCACCCATTTCACGAAACATGAGTAGTTTCAACCCCCTCTTGCTGGTAAATAACCATTCAGCATCTCGCAATGTCATCCCTATAAGTTATACAATGTACATCCACAATTTCCATTGCGCCATAAGAAAAGCCCGGAAACAATAATAGAGTGACCAAATAAACAAAAGAAGAAAATAAAAACACAAGAGGAAAAACCACATCCAACGATCCAAGCATGATCCTAATATCCCAAACAGATTCTACATATAAATGCAGATAGAACGATGATCCAAGTCGGCTACCGAGTTATCAAAGCCTTCCTAGAAGAGAAAGATAAGACTGATGATTGTTTGTCGGTCTGGTAGATGGTATAAATATCGCTAATTTGCATAATCGATATCGTGCGTTGCTATGCTGCGCCGCGAGAATTTGTAGAGCGAACATATGTAAGAGTAAAGACAGTAAGCTTTGCGTGTTTGAACGATGAGTTGGCTGGCTGATTGCAGTCGTTGAGTCGAAACCTCAAATGTCTGGGGGGAAATATGACTGATAGACTGGCGTGAATGGAACACCTCGTTGTGACATGAAAGGCCTGAGTCTATAAGGCACGATAGTAGGCGCAGTATACCCGGTGTCTTGATCCCATAGATCTAAAGTGTCATGTCCGCTTTCCATCCACGCTCTCAACTCATGCAAGAATGTTTCTCCACGGTACCTCTTGTGAAAAAGGAAATGCCACTTGTCCTTTGAGCTCATTCACATTCTCTCGGAGATCGTATATCTTTAGAAGATTTACAACAAAGGTGGAGATGTCTTCGCAAGTTATCTCCTCTCCCGTGGCAATGTCTAGAGGCAAAGGCACAAATGCCAAATGAAACTCGCGGATTGTAAAATCACGGACTCGACGCTGCAAGACGTCGCTACCGGCGATCTGCTGAGGGGTGACTCTATGGAAACCGCCACTGATAGGATGAGATAGGAGTCGATAGATGTATATTTTTTGAGCGTTCAATATCTCGGCCCATAAAATATACATACAAAGAGCGATCCTGTTGGAAAGTGGCCGAATTTGGTGGAAAGAGGCCCGTCAAGCGACGCGCACCAAGACGAAGCACGCGCTCGATAGCCAAGAAAGGTCCCCTACAGCAAGGACATGTGTGGTTGCTGTTATCCTTCCATTTTTTCAAACAACAATAGTGGAAGTTTTGATGACCACAAGATGGAATTGAGGCGGTCGAACAAACCATTATCTCGCATGTTCGGCAGTCTTCATTCTCATGAGGATTAGAACCAAGTGAGGATAGACAGATCACACATTCTCTATCCATCTCGTTGGAGACTTCTGCCGGTGCCATGTCGAGTCGTTAATGGTTCGTTGAATTGAGAGAATATGAATCCACGCTTCTGTGAGCGTGAAACTTGTTCAAAGGAAAGTAAAAGAATTGGGAGGGGAAGTTGAGTAATTATAGCTAAATTTTCAGCGTGTTACTAATATTTTAGTTTACATACCTAGTTGAATTGATTCCGCCTGGGTAGCATCAGGTCCTAACGTTGCCGATCTAGCCTTTTATATGCTAGACACCATCGAAGTTATTATCAAAACGGAAGTTTACAAGGAAGTATGGCTTGGTACCAGTTACTCAGAGGTCTATCAAGCTAGAAATTTCTCTCTGCCCGCAGAAGAGAGCGAAAAATCAAGGCTTCCTTGACGCGATTTATTGCCTAGAGAATCCCTACGAATGGCAGGGAGCAATCGCATTCAGATGAGTTTGGATGCCCGCACCAGGGATACCTAAAGTACCTTCCAGTATCTCTACGCTCTTGTAAAATTCAATATGAGTTCAATTCATGAAGTGAGGACCGAGATAGTTAATACTTTTCTACGGTAGTAAGTCGGAGACTGAGGAATTAACACTCGATTAGTTGGGTATATCACTTGAAGAACCAAGTATCTCAACAAACAAACTAAGAGATACGAGTGAGAGAATACGTAGAAAATCTTGCACTGAATATGCCTATTCTATTGTTTCTTTTGATCCTTTTTAGTTTTGGCCTATTCTGAAAGGTTTGGTACGTACTCGCCGTGATTTAGTACATCACCAGTGTATGCACGGATTGACGGGATACTACCAAAATGGACTTGTAAATATCTCTTGATATATTGAATTAGATATTTTCATAATTATTACAATCATTCATTAGATTTAAAACAATTGAACAATTGAATCATAAGTATCAATATTAAACAATTGAAGAATGAATTTATTAGAAATTTCGAAAGTTGGGAAATGTCCAATCAATACATACACCCACTGGTGCACCCACCAAGATGGAAGATCGAGCAACTATTTCTACAGCAGGTTTCTTTTGAATGACCCTATACGAATACTTGCCATGTTCTATAAGATCAACGAAACTTATTAGCCTCGCTGGAATGTATACCACAACCTGGTCATATTTAATCATTCAGAAAATCAAATAGCCGACGATTAAGGATATTTCGCTGATTGAGAGTGCGATAATCCCATTAATTGAAGTCACTTAAGTCTTGAGATGTACCCCTAGTTGAGGACATCTTAATGATGTTCAGAAATCAAGATCAACTGAGGAGAATACCGCGTCAGGTCCATTGTCGCAAACCGCTGATGATTGGATTCCATCAGAATTATCGATGGTCGTCATCATACACTTCTTTGGTAGGGATTAAGTTGTTCAATTGCCAGACCCCACCTAGACACTTATGCACCAATAAGGAGGTCAAAGTCCGCTTAGCTAGTCGAATAGCTTGGTATTCTCAGCACATAGCTCTGTATATTCTATTGAGAAGATATTTCCAATCCATCGAGATTGGGACCAATAATCTCAATCTCATCCAACAATATTCCACTGCCGAAAGTATCCTCGGCAGGTACTCTCCGTGCTCTCGGCACTCGTATCACCAGAAATGAAGTAAAGCACACCAATATCGTGTGGAACAACACCCTTAGATTGATCATGCTACCTACCCGATGCTAATTTACTGTTAAAAAAATTGTATCATTCACACATTGATTCTTTCGCATCGAATGATTTAGATCACATGAATTTGAATACTGTATCGCTGTCTCATATTTATCACAGAGAACATCTATCAATGTTGTCCCTTCTCCAAATCACACATGAAATATTTTTGGATTTCTTCGACAGCACCCTCGAACAAAAGAATTTTGGCGAGGAACGCTAACACCATGGGAACACCATGGGAATTCCCGCAGCACCATGCCTTGGCACTGCTGTAGAAAGTGACAATGTCATTTCTTGGTGCAATAGACCTAGATTACCGACATCTCATGGTGTTCTCTACTGTTCCCGCCTTTTAATCATTAAGGTTGGGACTCTAGAACCATTGAAGGAATTGATAAAGGAAGGTGCTAGCCTAAATGGGCATACAATATATGATAAGTTCGACGCCAGAGCCCTAACGGATATGGCTGGTCCAATGGTAACCATGTACATTTCAATAAAATCCATTTTTCTTCGCTCTTGTAGATGCGGAGGAGGCTTAAGAGCAGCACTGCTGTGGATCTATATTATATGTCGATCCGCGACAGTAGCACTAATCATATTAACTAATTACATGGGCAGTCTTAACAACAATATTCAAAGGATTCCATGTTAGGGAACCAGAGTTTAGTGCCGTTCTTAGTCAGATCGTCGTATTTTCACGGAAATATTGGAATAGACTACTGCCAAGGCCCCGAGACTGGAAGTATAATCTTGACTGTGAACCCCAAACGGACTTGGACCCTGTATCTAACTTATCCCTAATATCATCTGACGCTATCAGACCAACAATCCGGAAAACCGGAGTCATTCGCGATGCAGCTCTGACCAGCTGGCGCTCAAAGTATCATGGAGGGATGAAAGGAAATGATATTTAGATAGTTAAACAATCAATCATTCCACATTGCGACCAATTCAATCATAGTTTTCGTACATGTAAATAGATATACAAGTGAAGATTTTCACGATATAATTCATTTTGACAAAGGAAAGAACCGGGGGGCTCTGCGTTACCTTCAAGATAGTCATTGTTTGCACTGCACTAGTTAGCTTCGTTCTTGGAAAAAACGGCGATGGAAACTAAAGTTTTCCAGAACCAGATCATTTTCAGGCACAGCTCCGAACTACATGTTCACATAACCTTTCGTTTGTTTTGTTCTGAGACAATTCATCAATTGAAGCAATTTAGCGCGAGGAAAAGTCTTGGGTCACATAATGTTAAGTCATCAAAAAGAAATGGCTGGATTGGTACACATCAAACCCGCAACCGGAGAGGTAAGTAGTTGTCTAGGTAACTCATGATTATAACTTACAAAACATGTATTGAAATGCGCAATTATGGAGATGTGTTTTTATGTTGATTTCTTGCGTTCCACGTGATAAATATCATCAGCAAGGTTTGACGATCAAGAATCTACTCTCTGTGAACTCCAGCCAGAAAATTGAAAGTTCTAGCAGGACTAGAATACTAACCATACTTTTCTTATGTTGAATGAAAAGGAAAAGGGTAGGAGGATGGCTAAGCACCTTGAAGTTCCACGTTGTAATGCGTTCTGTCTTGAAGAAGCTCTCATCACAAGTTGCAAAATTTATGTTTCAGGTATGAGCCTTTTCGATCCATTTCTTACACGTTCAAATTCTATCTTCATCTTTGGACGGAATGGTATAGAAAAGTTATTCGATCTTTAGAGTAGCTAAACTATAGAAACACAAGTGAACAAACACAAATATACATACAAACCAGCCGACAAAACTAACACTATACCCCATGAACCAAAAACTACTATTCTCCAGCTTACGATGAAAGCTGTACCACCGAAAAGAGCAATTTAAAGTGATTTGAACGATGAATGGCTATAGAAAGCTGAAACCCTTTACCGCTCGCCTTTCCTGATGATATCCAATTTTCTTTCTTCTTGCATGTCTTTACAATGGGCATCGGGGAATCTCTTGCACCATTTTATTGATAATCAAAAACATGCAAACAAGAGTTGACGACTTCATCAGATATCTAAGACAGAGCCCTTGTGATAAAGATCGTAATATTCATGATCGCTCACTTCATTCCTTTCATCTAATCCCAAGATCACAGGAAAGGAAGCGAGAGTATCGATGATGATTTACAAAACTTATACACATCGAGGGGCTGTGAAGTCTTGGGCCTAGCTCTTGTACCCTTTCAATTCCTTTGAAGTCCTTTGCGAAATTAGACTTCTTTTGCAATCGAGTGATAGAAGTATATCAGAATCGAAACTGATAAAGAAGTTTATGCCATCAAATTATACAACGCGCCCTTCACACTTCATAAGCTCTTTTTGAATGCATTGCCATCCTAGGAAAGCGTGAAAAGTTAGCTTACATGTAACAACATTACAATTTGAAAACCAATAATTGGGGTACTTACATGAGAATATATATGTTTAATTTACAAACCCTCATTTCTCATCTGATGTCTTGTTCTTTCTCCCAGTCCAGTCCCTTGGAGGATTTCTTGATGGAGGATTTCTTGACGGGGAATTTCCTGATGGAGAATTTCCTGATGGAGAATTTCTTGATGGATGTCCTCGCAGATTGAGTCATTTTAGCAAATTTACGAGAGAGCTTTTTGCGCCGACCAACTTCTGTAGGCGAGGCATTCTCAATACCATGAGTCTTTTCATCCTCCACATCATCAGCTACTGCTAAGGTATCAGTTGATCCCTCTAAAACAGACAATATGGCCTGGAGGTCGGCTTCATGAAGTTCAACGGAATGCAACTGGGAACGAGAAAATTTAGCTCGTGCCCGCCAGGATCTCATCCCAGAGAAAAGACCGCGACGTCTTGTTCTTTGAGAAATCTTTTGGAGATCTAAACATTTCATGACGGTGCGTCTTGTGTTATGATTGCCGAGGACCGGGTAAGACTTCAAAGAGGCAGAAGTGGAAGATAGAGTGACCGATCTGGATACATGTTCCAAATGCGTAACGGAAGAAGACGTAGTCACCCGTGGCACATTCTGATCAACTGAATGCGTAACAGGCTGTGCTGCGGTCATGGGAGATGCAGTACCAATACTCTGTGCAGTATTGAATCTCTCAATATTCTCAGGATTCCATCTCACATAAGCGAGACTCGGTCCTGATGATCGTTTAAGACCAGGTCTAGAGAGCCTCGTTGATGGAGATGTCACTGTATTGGAATTGTTTGGCTTCATTTCTGGATACCTCACAGCGCGAATCCATTCTTCCAACGTCTGACAGAAGCTTGTCAAGAACGCACGTGCCGAATGCAAGAACAAATCGGTTATAATCATCCAAAGTATTTCTAATTATGCTTTCCGCGTAGTATTTTCTCTTCTTCTGTTCCTCGGTAATATTCTCCATCTGGAGCGTAGCTATTACAGTATTTTCAAATGAATGCCCGTGATCAGGTACTATTGTGATCTGCTTTAATGCTTGAATCTCGAGTCTTATCCAAGAACGCATGAGACCCTTAGCATCCGGATCATTTCTGAAAATTTGCTTGCAGATCTCGATGGAGTCAAGGGCCAGCCCTGTGCAAACAGAATGACAGTACATCGTCTTTTCGTAGATTAATCGCCGAAGGGCGACAAGTTCCACACGAGAGTAAGTACCGTTCTTAGAATGGCCTTCTTGGGCCGAAGACTGATGCATCTGATGATCTATTCTGCGATTCTTGATACGCATTTTGACGTATTCAAGCTCGAGTGGTATGTCGATAAAACGACCCTCAAAGATAGTCATGCGACGAGCCTTCATAGTGTCTGTGTTGCATTTAGGGCACTTGGGATCTTCATAAAATTTATCTTTTATGCAATTTAAGTGAAGAATGCAATTGCATGGGTGCAATACAACAAATTGTTGAGCTTTATGAATATCCAAATAGCATTCCTGACATTGTGTGTCTTCATCTGAGTCTTCTTCATCCGAGCTTTCTTCATTTGTTGGCATATCGTCCCTGGTTGTAACGGAAGTAACTTCTTCATTGGACAAAGTTTCTTCATTATTGGAAGTCTTTTTGTTGACGAAGAAAAATTCATTCTTATGCCTTGTTAAGTTCGTTTGGATGACACTTGCATGATCTACACTCGGCAATGAGGTACGAGACGTAGCTCCGTTGTTTTTGATAAAGTGGTCGTTCATTGTGAGTGTTTCGTGGGTATGTTGTTGACTTTTCTAAGGAATCATCAGTTTAATGTGCGATAAAGCTCTGAACGTTCTACTTACAGATATTCGTTCCTGCGATTAATGTTTTGGTAGTAATGTGCAAGCAGAATGCCGAAGTTAAGATGTGGAGATCAATGCCACTGATGAGAGGGGAACAGACAGTGGGTGTGAATGATAATGATATGAAGGAATCTCAATTGGGAATTGAAGAAAAATGGAATGATAGAGTTGGGTCAGGATTAATGTTGAGGAAATTGGATTATTGACAGGAGCAGGTTAAAACTCCGGGTAAAATTTGGCTAGTGTACAATAGTCGATCTACTGGGTTGTCGGAAATTTTTCACACACTGCGAAGAAAATGTGATTGAATCGTACGAATATTGTGCTGAATCTGAAAAAGACTTGATTTAATGGAAGAAGATCATTGACATGTAAAAATGTGAGAGTAAACTTGATATGCTGTGGGTATGGAAATGGAGGCTCCTTTCTTCAAACGAAGGGACCAATCTCTTGATCCTACCAACTATTAGAAAGGTAAGAACCTTTACTTGGCACCCCAGCACACAGGTGTTCATGAAAGTTATAGCAGAAGGGAGCTAGCCTGGAAAGGTAAAGCAGGTCCGCATGCCTTCAAAAGCGAGATCAATCGCTTCCGGAGCTTGCCACAACCCTAACCCACGATGAGCGTAAATTCTTAATCCTTGCTAGTCTTCCTCGGATTTTATGAAAGAATACGATATCCATGATAGACTATAAGCTGGAGCCCTCAGTATGTTAAAGTTCACAGACAGCCGCTGGGTAGAAAAGAATTAGTCTTGGGTCTAAAATACTGAGCTGCTCAATTAGTCTATGTTTTACTCATTCACGGAATGAATAAACCTTCCATCGCTAAGTGATTTAGAGCGGCAGGGACTAGTATCATCTCAATGTATCCTTCCACCCCACTTAACAGAAAAAAAGTGGGAGAGGTATTAGATGCCACATAGAATAACTCACTCTTCATTGCGGTCAGAAACAAATTATTACTGTCCCGATTGACTTATATACAGGTAGACATAAATTGAGATATCAACATTGAAGTCGAATTAAGGAAAATGTCCGTGCAGATTAACGGCTGTGGCGTTTTCGGTTATGCAGGGGAAACGGCATCCAATTTGGATTGCGATCACCAAATAACACCATAAACAAATATTCACAGCAGTATTATCCCTACGTGAAGACATGTGAGAGAATACAGGAGCAATCGTTCATTTGGTTGGTGAAATAAACATGATTTGTTCTATTATTTTAAGGGTGTATCAATATAATGATGAATACACTCGCTGCTTAAGTAATTCTTAGACTATTTTAAATCAGAGGCTAGCTATTATTCAATCATGTTCTGCATCGATGAAAATTGACAAGTCGAACCGAAAAGCGTTTTCGATCAAGGACGGGATCTACTGCCAAGTGTCAGATCTGCGCGCTATGATCATTCCTGCAATGGGATTCGCTAACGAGTCCGCCGGGAATAGGCGATCATCGGTATTTACCCAAGCTTGAGTTTGATTTTAGTTAGCCCTCGCCGAATATCTCCTGTAATGCGTGAGTTCTGGATAAAGATGAATGCCCTCAGTGTAACGATCCGTTGATCATATCTAATGAAGGTATAGTTTAGCAAATCTGAATCAATCGTCATGAAATTGCTTAGCTTATTTATTAGTGTGGGGTCAAAATAACTCTCATATATAGCGACCGGCCCTTGTAAGTCCGTAAGAAAGATTCCAGACTCCTTTTGTCTCCATTCGTTGCTGAGATACATATGACATAGAAAGTAATTTTATGAAGCATTTTTGTCCTCATTTCATCTATCTTATCCATCACATTCTTCAATTTTGTTTAAGCGTCAATCTGCTCCTTCGATTGGTTGGCTACCAGAAAACAGTCCGATCCAATCCAATGTGTACTTTTAAGTCCAGATATTGAGCGATGGACCAATGACGGATATCCAGAATGCGTTCTCTCACAAGCGGCGACGACTAGATCGAAACGGGGCTAGAATCGTCTACAATGAGCAAGACTGATTTTCTCAAGCGAGTTCGTCCCACATGCCTTACGAAAAATGAGTGCGATCATGATTTAGTCAAGCCAAAGAAGTAGGTTTCTGAAAGTCAGCGAATCAAAACCCAGATTTTTCGTGTGATGGGCTAGGCTGAGAAGATCTGCGAGCTTGGCAAGACTCCCTATTACCTTGTACAAAAGATGTTGCAACTAATAATGTTTTGCTATTGAATCTCGGGACCAAATCAGGTATTTGCATTTATCTGACCTTTGACTGACAGAAAATTGGTAATATTTTGTAACTTTAAAATTGCGAAAATAAATTACCAAATGATATGGATGAAGCTTTGCTACATCCAATCATTACTTTGTATTCGTATGAAGCGCTGTGAGAAGCAAAACTGAATACTGTTGGCAAAATAGCCAGAATTAAACTCCCTTGTATAGTGATTGAAGCCGATTCGCCGTCGATGAACACCGTCGAGGACTGCCTGCCCATACGTCCAGTTAATTCAAGTTTTCTCAAAGAACTCTTGCTTTGCTATTTCGAAGGATTAACCTAACTCTTACATCCACAGATGATGGAAACACCAGTACCCTATGCATCACCCCTTGAAGCAGCGATGATCTACTTGTGCAGCTATAAAACAAGGAATTTCGAGTCTAGGTGCACATGCCACAAGACAGTAAACTATGAGAGGGGCACATTGGCATTTATTTAGCGGCAAAGTTGCATGCTTTGAAAAAGCCTGGGTGTAAGAGTCATAATCTTTGTTTGCGGTGGATCTTCATACTTTCTCGGGCGCGCATTCATATAATCCAATTTTGTGCGAAATACCAGATAAAAAGAGTTCAAACATCCAGTCTGTTAGCTCTTTCAAACATTATCTGAATGAATTTCTACCTGCCCAAATTCCAGATTATGATTATTCGAAGGATCTGTGGTTTGGCTAATTGCAGAGATCGAATGCTGGGGAAAGCAACTTGAGTAGAAGATACGCAACCAGGATTTGACTCCATACATCTTCAAAATCTTCGGTACGAAGACTATTCACGTATTAGTATTTAGATCTTTTTACTGCCATTATTACAAGTTGCCACTACTTAGAGATTCTCGCAACTTCACAACCATAAATGTAAAGACATCCTATGTCTGCCAGCATCAACGAAGACGCCTGTTGTTCTAATGTCATTTCGAATTTACAATAATTTACAACATCTACAACAATGACTTCATCAAGGCCATCTCAGGATTCTAGTTATCACGAAGACAATCCAGATGATATCATAAAGAGCCTTAGATACAAATTGTTGGGAGCCTACTGATTTATTGGGTGGTAAAGAGTTATGCCTCCAAAAATTCATTAGACGGAAAAGAAAGAAAGAAGGGCAGAAAATTAGACAAGGATCCAGGTAACAAACAGCAAGTGTTGAGGTAAAAAGCAAGAAAACGAAAACCGCAGTTGGATTGCTCGTTATTTGAAGGGCTTGTGATTGATCTTACCGATCAAGTTTCTGGAAGGGCCATCCATTAGATAGGAAAATTTGTAACACTGCTGTATCTTTTCTGCTTGTACCGTCGACTGATGAAATCATAAGTCGCTAGCGTGAAATTGTAAATCGTTTGTATAATGACATGTATTGCTAGCGTAGATTCGTATATCATTGTTGTAAGATTATGACCTTCTATAGTATATTGTGAGTTAATTAAATGGAAGAGCCTACAGAGGCAAAGAAAATACTCGAAGAGGTCAGACCTCGTTTACGGACAGAATGTGTGCGTTCAAGTGTGTAGGGACGGGTGTAGGGAGGGGTGTAGGGAGGGGTGTAGGGAGGGGTGTAGGGAGGGGCCTCGATGACGAGTTGTTATTAACCGTATTAGTTATCGTGTTCTTTTCAGGACAAAAGTAGCTTTCAATTGAAAAGTGTAATTTAGGATGCGATGGATTAGCAAGTGCTTTCGTTTGTCCGCATCGCCAAATGCCAAGGAAGTTGAAGACGGCTGAATATGTCTCAGGTGCGAGTCATGGACGAGCGTCCGATGATTAATGTTCCGTTGAACAGTCAACGTTTTTTGTTTATTCTTTTATTGTCGTCGTCACTCAACAATGCCAATTATGTGAAAGTCAAAACTAACCAATTTAATCCTTACATTACCTAGTCAATAATGTGCAGCTACCGAGATGAACATCCGGATGATTTCCATTTTTTGACATAAGATACAGAATTCCAAATTACATGATTATGTCTCCATCTCTTTGGCCTGAACGTATGGAATAGTGACATGATAGATAGAGTCTAGTCAACAGACCCAATCTAGCATCGTAAGATCAGAGCTTGGAATACCTAGGTAGGATTGAAAGATGGGAAGGGACGATGAGAGAAAAATCAGGCAAGAACTGAATCAGGCACGGTCAGGCAAACGCTGAACGAGAATGCAGAGGGCAGAGGAAAGAGGATATCAGAAGAGTGAAAATGGATGGGGTGCATGGTCCGTGTTATCGTGAGGAGCCTGCTTGATTGTTGAAAGAGGATTATGAGCATTCGAGATGAAAAGACTCGATGATAAATCAATTAATACATCCTACGTGCACAGAATCTCATGTTACACATCTAGACTCCGCTCGTATCTATAGTCAACTCAATGTATGTTAGAACATCAGAGCTATCTATCCAGGAGGAAAAGAGGTTCAGAGTAAGTACATGTACATGTAAGTATTATATTTTTATTGGGTATTCTTAAAGAAACGCAGATCTAGACTTCAAAGTGTCTTTTGGTATCTCCAAGTGTATAGCAAAACATACGTTTCTTCACAAATAATTTGCGCAACTCAAGTTCTGGGCTCCGGGGCGCGTCTCTTTTGCGTTCCTCCTTAGGTCTCGCTCTCAAGTTGCAGTCCTTACTTTCTCCTCCTAAATTTACTACCAACCCCTGGTCCCCCCTTCGCTCCACTATTCCTCAACTTCAACCTCTTGTAATTCTGTAGACTGCCTGCAGTAGCTTTGATCTTCCTGGCAGCCTTCTTGACTTTCCCTTCCCTGTTAGCCTCCAGATTTTTCTTTTTCGTCTTATCTTGATCTGGTCTCCTGTACCGCGTTCCTCCTTCTGAAGCTGTATATTCGGAAGCGGAATCAGAATCGAAGTTGCGACCGTCGAGTGGAAATTCATCAGGATGTGGGAATTCGTCATTGTCAGGTGGAGGGAACTCATCATCGAGTTGAGTTTCGGGTATAGTTTCGAGGCGAGTATGCGGAAGCGCGAGTTCGTCTTCGCTTTCTGACACATTGTGGTAATTTTTAGATGGCATGGCTCGGAGGGCTTGGTACGATTTGGCTTAAGATTTACACGACGGGTGGTACGCTTTTGACCTCTCTTTTTGTATGTTCTTTTGGGTGCCTCTGTCGCTTCTTCGGGCTCAGAATCGTACATAGCTTCATCGTCGAAACCACCCAGTAATTCTTGTGGCTGACTATCTTTAACCAGAATTGTGTCTTCTGGAAGGGGCTCTTCGGTCGGCGGTTTTGATGACGAGGCGCTTGTCGAGCTAATTGGTGGAGCAGTCAATTGTGGGTTTGATTGTGGTTTTGATGTGGGCTTGGACGGTTTGGATGTCTCGGCTTCCATTTCACGAAGAGCCTCTAAATCATCCTCTGCAGCATCTTCTTCCATTTTCCGGAGACCAGCAAGCATACTGCTTAGACTTTTGATCATTGGTTTTCGAGGACCTCGAATAATTTCTGGAGAATCAGGTGGGCCTTCTTCATTTTCATCGAGAGCCGGCATTCGAATTCGTTGGCTATCTCTTCTCAAAAATGATGGTGTACTAAAATGTAGCTTTGATACTGATGAAGGTGTTGTTGATCCTTGAGCATTGGCAATCTTATTCTTCAAAGGCGTACTGAACAACAAGGTCCTTCTCGATGAGGGCGTATTGTTGTGCATGATTGCTCTTGAGCTTACTGGAGTCATTCCATGTCCATGCTTTCGAGGAGTTACTTCTATGCCGGCTGTTTTCCCAAATACCCCAGGAGCAGTGGAAGGAGAATCTGCGGCACTGTCTGGATCCAAGTCAAACAACCCTAGAACCTGCCCATCCTTCTGTGGTGTTGGTCCAATTGCGGTTTTCTTCGAAGGTGTAGCAAATAGGTTTCTCATAACGGAAGGCGAATGATAAGGGTCAACATCCCATGGTAATATTGTATTCTTCGAGGGTGTTTTATCGATATGTGCACGCTTTTGGGGTGTTTCATCTTGATCCTCTCCATGTCTTCTCTTTCGGGGTGTTGGTTTAGGAGCCGGTGGAGGTATGTGCGAAATCTTTCCAGAGAGTATGTCGCGTACTCTATTGAATTCTTTATATTTCGAGGCTGCAGAAATGTAAGTATAATTGATTGGCAGAATGCGCAAATGTAGGATCCATACCGATATCCGGGTTCGCTTTGATATCCTCTCTTGAGGCTTTGCGGCCTTCATTATTGTTCTGAAAATCCTTTTCCCATACTTTCAATTCGACTCGCAGAGCCTTTGAGCGCTCCTCGAAAGAAATTCTCTCCCCCTCGTCCATACTGCAAATCGGCGCAGTCAAATCTCCAGGTTGACTCGTTGAATATTATCTAGAAAACACGGTAAAGAAATCGTGCTATCGCGTATGAAAATACTTTCTGGTAAGATATCTGCCTTATAATAATGACTGGTAGTCAATAAAGAGAGAATAAAAAATGGTCGTCGAAGTCGTAAGGTCATAAAATTCGTAACATTAATTTTATATCATGTATCAATGACATCGTTGATATTTTATGTCGTGGGCAGACGCGCCGGACTCCTTCAGACCCGCGATTTTGCAGGGATTAAACACCCGACTGTTTTCTGCCCGCCTTACCAGGGCGGTCAATGTGCCTCGTTTATCAGTTCGGTCAGATAGGAGGTAGTGCTTCCTAATCTAAATCCCGACTTCACCATTTATCAATCCCTAGGAACCTAGAAAAAACATTCATCCATGTGCAGTGTGTGAATGGCAATGTTGTACTAGGTCTTCTGACTTATATTATCTTAACTTTCTTGAAGTATCGTAACTGTTATGGCTCATAGGAATTCAATCGCTAACAGTAAGGTTAATGTACCAGTACTCGAAAATCACTTTGCGCGAAAATACGTGAGACAAGACGACGGTTTGATGGTTGATGTCGGAGATCATCAATAAATCGACCATCTACAAGCGTACCAAGTTCTCGTAGAAATCTGAGGTCGCTTGAAGAGCCGACTGTGATCTTTTTCAAGGGGTCTGTGCATGATAATCACATTGCCAAAACATGAAATTAGCTGGGTTGATAGCTATTCCATCTCTATATTCTTGAATTAAAGATGAATCATATAACCATGCCAAGTGTGTAGCTGATTATAGCCCTGTTCACTTCACTATCGCCACAGCTTTCTGTACTCTTCTCATATTAACATTAAAAATTTCAGAAGAAACCCCGGAGCTCCAAATAATCAATCTTTCGGATCGAGAATCTTGAGTCAAATTAATGCCGACCAAAATTCCATCATTAGAACCTTAAATCATGTGGAATTATCGAGCCATCACTCCATTGATTCTTTCTGACGCATTTTCACTGATTCACAGTTAGATCGTAGACTAAATTTGATGTACGGCCCTTATTAGTATTAGCCATAGATTCTATTTCCACTTCTCCCTTCCAGCTCTAGCTTTTTTCAAGCTCCACTCGCTGCCTTGTAGCATCGGAAGTCCACTCAAGTCCACTCGTTCTTCCACTCGTATCATGTCAGTGTCTTTCTAGCTTTGAGATAGACAAAACAATTCCGGAGTTGTAGATATCAAGGCACTAGGCACTTATATTTGGCAATAAAATGACTTTACCTATTGTGGAAATGTTATACTCTTGTGTTCCTGGCAAGGGGGGAATTGATCGAACCCAAAATGGTTGAACTTTAATCATTGGAGACGCTAGTTCTGAATACTAACCGTATAGCAATCGGGAACAGATGGCGTGATTCTTGAGCCTAGAATATGGTCCAGATCGAATTGTGGTTTTCTTCTAACGTGTTTCGAATGCTTCAATCGTTTTTATCCACAACCTTGTTGAGAACAGAGATCTTGCTAGAATGCCCCCTCCTTCCAGTCACCCCTACGACCACCCGGGCAGGCCAAGTACCTAAGCAAAAACAAAAACATCCTGATAAATTACTTGGCATACTTGTTACCATTGGTTGGTGAATATTTATTGAGAATAGTACAGCGCTTAGGCCAACGTGATCTCGTTGTCGCGATTCTTACCCCGCTCGTCAAGTCGAATTTTCAAGGTCTACGATGGTCCCCTCCAATTCACGAAATTTGGTTACCTTCCTCATTCATTTTCAAACTCTTCAACCCCATAGTCTGTGTCTTTGCGTGACATAAGTAAAAACAGCGTACCGCAATTATCATGTCTCAAAGTACTAGGTACTTCGTACAGCTCTACATTTATGAATAGATTAGATCTTCGCATATAGTTGTAAGCCGGTTCCATCATCTTTGTGTGTTTTATTTGATTGATTTTGACTCATTTGGTATCGTGAGTCTATTCTCTTCTAGTTGCCATTCATATCGCATCATTCAACTTTCATTGTCCTTCTAGAAATTCATTTTGGGTCTATGGGCTGCGTAGGACCCCCATCAACCTCCAACCTCAACTATTCGAGGTCTCGCTCTGGAGATGAGGTACTGGAGTCCTCAGAATAAGCAATTGGATAGAAGTGTAAGTGCAGTCAAGCTGACTGTTGTTCGGATTATTTGCTTGCCGGTTCATCTGCCATCCTCTACCTTCCCATTAATTCGCCTGTTAAACTTGTCGCATTCTTTCCATCACCATTCCACCTCTACCCATAATCTAAGAATACACCTACTCCTAAAAATCATTATAATTTGGCAACCTTCATATCAAGACAAGCAGAGATACCAGTTCCGCTCAGATTTCTTCCATAAAATACACTCCCGTAGGTTTTTAGAGCAGACACGAAAGACCCTTCTCTTCAAAATCAATTACTGTATATTTCACTTCATACAAACTCCTTTCATAATCTCTCCACCAATATCCACAAAATCTATAGACTCATGCATATACACCTGCACTATTCCCACACTCATTACGTCTTTCACCACTATCTGCAACCAAACTACATCCATATTATATCCATCACCATTATTACTACCATAAACACACTTCAACTCATCTCTCCAAAGTCTGGAAATCCTACGAAAATATTCTAAAACGGAGACATATGCTTCGATCCTGATGTTTCAGTCTTTCCATAATTATCATTCAAAAATTCTATTACCTCCGGTCAGACTCCGGATATACATCTTCCATCCTCCATCCTCATTTCTCACCCAATCCATCCGACACCATCAACATCCATAAACCATCCGACCTCTTCTTCCATTCCGCTCTCCACTCTAACCCTCTAAAATACCATGAACTAGATCTACATCTAAACCACAGCTTTGTTCAAATCCACCCACCTGCCACAGCATCATGACTCTGCACTTCACCACCACTCCTCCCTCCAGAATCTTCACACAATCGTTGCGCCCCGCATACAGTATTAGTGATAGAGTAAATGGGATAAGACAATAAAACCAACCCCCCCCCAATGTCCTCTGAGATTTCGCATATATCACTACATCACCGTGTTCCACTCCTCAATACCCATATTGACACCATAAGCTTACCAAACAATACTTCCTACCAACACCCCCAAGAATCCCATAATTTAGTTCCCGTCAACTATTTCAACATAAAAGCCATATGGTAGAAGAGATCCCAGTTCTAGTTTTCATCATCATCCACTCAATAACATCCAGCAATCGGCATTATCTACCCTCTGTATATCCTCTAGATACCCTCCCTTCCATCTCTGCAAGAAATCATCATTCAAGTTCCAACCCCCAACCCCTAAACCCCAACCACCAGCCTCCAACCAGGATTCCCACTTCCCACCAATCTACCACAACCACAACCACAAACCACATTCCTTCCCTTCTATTCTCTTCTCCCTCTTCCCTCCCACCTTCTCCCACCTCCATCACCCATCTTACCCATACCATCAACTCCTTACCAAAGCCATCTCCCTTTAAATCCAATATCTGAATATCTCAATAATCAAACCTCGCTTCGGCTCTTCGAATCATTCATCAGCCAACTTACCAACAAACAAACATTTCGCAATGCAACTAAGAATTCATGTACAAGTGCTCAGAAGTCCATATCCCCTCCTCCTTCTCCTATTTCTGAATCCTTCATCGCACGCCCTCTACCCAGCTCCTTAACCCCGTTTCAATGTCTATACTTCTTCACTTGCCCGCCCCCATTCTCATATCATCTCTATTGCCTTCCTCCCTAACTCTAGTCTCTAGTCTCCACCACCCTTTTTTCAAAAACATCCTCCAACTAAACCCAATCCCGCCTTCCCCCTTCCCTCCCTCCCATATTTCTATCGAATTTCCCTCTTTTCTCATCCCCATTTCCGAGTATCTCCCTGCTCTCTTTCCCACTTCCGAGCTCCTCCCCCCCCCACCCCTCACCTCATCGAACTTTTCCACCCTCACAAGTCCATCTCAATCTCCACCTTCGCTTACAACCTCACCGCGACCCTCAAATCCAAACCCAATATCAATCGCACAATAAACTTGCCAATCCGACATACATCTATCTACCTTCCCCTTCTCATTCCTTCTCTCTTTTCTCCTCATCTCGCACCCTTCCGCCCATCTCACCGTCATATCCACAAACGAACACGCCTTGCCTTCCTCCCCACGTCCCTGCCCTGTCCTGCCGCCCTTCCCTATCATCATCTACTCTCTCGCTTTACCCTCTCGCTTTACCCCCTTCACTCTACCCCCTAATACACTCTCCCTCATCCCCCACCAAGCTCCAAATCCTATCATCAAATCCCCATACTACCCATAGTAACCCCAACACAACATTCACCAGCAGTACGCATGCCAAGCTCGCTATTCTCCCCTGTCCCCCTACCATTTACCTCCCTCCCAGTGCCTCCCAGTGCCTCCCAGTCCCCCTACCTATCTAGCTATCCACATGCCTATCAATCGACCACAGATTTCTAGCTAGGAACCTCCATTGGTAAGTTCGGGTAATAAGCGCATGCACTCGGATAAAGAAGAGGATGAAGGGGGTGGATTATCAAACAAGGGAGACATAGAGGAGACGGAGAGGATGGAAAATTTAGAGAATACCATTCCGAATCCTCCTTGCAAATAGTCTAGTAGATGCATATCTATTGACATATATATCATTCCTTGGAGCTTTCAAATCGCATTGGACACTGCCAGAAATATCACATTACATCACATCAATGTAATCCAGACACCACTCATCACAGTTGGATATTCTTTTGTAGAATTCACAAGTACTTCCATTCATGCATCCAGTTCCTCGTATCATACCTCCCTCCATCCAAGATATTCTCATACACTTCATACATACAATCATAATCCGCATCCCCACCCATCCAGGCCAATTCAATAGAGCCCACCCAGCCAGCCAT